TTGTCTTTTTTTTCCCCCTTCATTAGCCATATAGTTAACAAGGTGCCCTTGTGGACTAATCTGGGTAGAGATTTTTTTTTCAGGGTTTTAATTTTAACTTTTTGTTATCTAGAACTTGACAACTATCAACAGACATGAACATTTACATATAGAAGAATCGAAAAAGGAGGATCGTATATGAAACTGTGAATCTCTGATCTGTATCTCTTGTTTTTTGAAAGTATATAATAAGTTCTTCCTCAGTCGCCTGGCCCAGGGTGCCACCTTCTGCAACTGCCATGGCTCAGTACAAGGGTGCTGCCAGTGAGGCGGGCCGCGCCATGCATCTCATGAAGAAGCGGGAGAAGCAGCGGGAGCAAATGGAGCAGATGAAGCAGCGGATCACCGAGGAGAACATCATGAAGTCAAACATTGACAAGAAATTCTCAGCTCATTATGACGCAGTAGAGGCTGAGCTCAAGTCCAGCACGGTGGGTCTTGTAACCCTGAATGACATGAAGGCCAAGCAGGAAGCGCTGGTGAAGGAGCGGGAAAAGCAGCTGGCTAAAAAGGAGCAATCCAAAGAACTTCAACTAAAGCTCGAGAAACTTCGAGAAAAAGAACGCAAGAAGGAAGAGAAGCGCAAGATCTCTAGCTTGTCTTTCACCTTGGATGAGGAAGAGGAGCCCGAGGAGGAAGAGGAAGATAGGGATGAGGAAGACCTAGAGGGGGAAAGCAGTGTAGACAGGAACAGGCGTGGTTCCTACCTTCAGAGAGTTAGCAGTCTGAATGGAGGAGAAATCCCTTCAAAGAAGAGAAAATTGGGAAAGAACCCAGATGTGGACACAAGCTTTCTTCCTGACCGTGACCGAGAGGAGGAGGAAAATAGGCTCCGAGAGGAGCTTCGGCAGGAATGGGAGGCCAAGCAGGAGAAGATCAAGAGTGAAGAAATTGAAATCACCTTTAGTTACTGGGATGGCTCTGGGCACCGGAGGACCGTAAAGATGAAGAAGGGGAACACGATGCAGCAGTTCCTGCAGAAGGCCCTGGAGATCCTGCGGAAAGACTTCAGTGAGCTGAGGTCAGCAGGGGTGGAGCAGCTCATGTACATCAAGGAGGATCTGATTATACCTCATCATCACAGCTTCTATGACTTCATCGTCACCAAAGCCAGAGGGAAGAGCGGCCCACTCTTTAACTTTGATGTCCATGATGATGTTCGGCTGCTCAGTGATGCCACAGTAGAGAAGGATGAGTCACATGCAGGAAAGGTGGTGCTGAGGAGCTGGTATGAGAAGAACAAGCATATTTTCCCAGCCAGCCGCTGGGAGCCCTATGACCCAGAGAAAAAGTGGGACAAGTACACGATCCGTTGAGCACCTGTGAAAGACAGCACGAGATCTCTGTCGCCTCACCTCTCCTCCATCCCCACCTACCCACCCACACACTCTTTGTTTGTTAGGCCTGACCAAGAGTTAGCAGCTGACGTCCTCACTCCTCCTTACCCTCCTTCCCTCCCTCATTGTGGGGCTTCACCCTTCCCACTGGTTTTCTACACGTATCTGATCCCCTAGGTCCGCATGTCCAACTGAGAAGCAAACCCTGGGACTGGCACTGACTGGGTGGGGCTGTGGCAGAATTGGTTCCTGGATTTCTACTCCCTAATTCTACTGTTATTTACATGTTTCTTATTTTAGAATAAATAAACTTTTGCATGGAAAAAAGTATACAATAAATGCAAATTAATTCCAAAACTGTCCTGCTTAAACCATGTCTGCCTGAGTTCCTTCTGTTCTCTTTCGTTCATTTAAAAATGTTTCATTGAAATTTTTTTATATCAGCAGCACTAGTCCCTCTTATTCCCCCAATTCTTCTCCCTTCCCCCTAAAAAACAAGCCTTTCCGTTACAACAAATAAGCATAGTCTTACAAAACAAAGCCACCCATTGCCCATGTCTGTAAACATATATTTCATTCTACACCTTAGATGTGTCACCTCTTTGTCATGAAGTGGGAAGCACACTTTTACCATCAGTCTTTAGGAATTGTGGTTGGTAATCATAGTAGTAAGAGTTCTTAAATCTTTCGAAATTCTTTTTCTTTATAGTGTTGTAGTCATTGTATGAGTTGTTCTCATGGTTCCTGCTCACTTCGCTGTGTACCTGTTCATTTATGCAGGTCTTTAGGTTTCTTTGAATCTGTCTCTTCTGGCATTTTTTCCTGTACAGTAATATTCCATTGCAGTCATATACTATAATTTATTCAGCCATTCCCCAAATGATGACTAGCCACTTTATTTCTAAATTCTTACTGCAACAAAAAGTAAATAGTTTTGTATATATGGGTATATATTCCTTTTTCTTTGATCATTTTGGAGTATATACCTACAAGTAGTATCACTGGGTTAAAGGGTATGGATAGTTTACTAACTTCTGGGGTATGGTTCTAAATTGCTTTCTAGAAGGACTGGTCCAGTTCACAGCTCTACCATGAGCTAGACCAGAGCACTACTGTACCTGTGCTCCCGTATTCCCCACCCTGTGAGTGGCAATTGGTAGTTGGTGGAGATGGCTGGCCCCTTCTCCACAGGAGTTGTTTCCCTGGATGATGGCTAGACTAGAAGCAGGACAGGTGGTCTGTGGGATGCTGCCACTCCTAGGGCTCCTGGGTTCCTCTGCCTTGTGGTAGCTGGTCAGTAGACATTGTAGGTGGTGATGGGGAGGATGCTGAATTAACCTTATCTCCTTCTGTGGCTGTCAGTGCTTGAGGTGTGCGTAGCTGGGCCCTGATGCCCTGCAGCATAATATTGAGGGACACAGGTCAGGGGTGGGGCTTGGCTTCAAGAACCCAATTAATAGAGGTGGTGCTGGCTTGCAATCCCCCTACTCAAGCCTTCTGGTTAACTTCTGGTCTGTTTGCTCACTCTGCCTTTCCTGGTGGGGTTCTCTCTACCTTTACTACTTTCTTCTCCCAGGCCTTGCTTTTTTCATCTACAGAAGTAGAGGGAATGATTTCTAAGGTCCCTTCCAATTATAACTTTATGTTTTTCTGTGACATTTATAGGTTACCAGTGGGCTGCAGCTGATCCTTTGAGAATCATCGGTATAGGCAAGGACAGAAGAGTTTGAGTAGGGTTGTCTCCCCCCACCAAAAGAAATCTGACAAGGGGAGGGTTTCCGAAGGGGCATTTTAGTAAACATTAAGTACCTTCTGTGCGTAGCGCACCATATTAAATGCAGGGGATAGATCCAAGGATTACATAAAGACAGAGTCTCTGCCCTACACACACACACACACACACACACACATACAACTAGGATACAGAACAGTATTTGGTAATTACATAAAAGAGGTATAAACCAAGGGCTAGGTAGGGTCTGAAGAAGAAAGGATTACTACTGCCTGGGACTGGGCCAGGGTATTGGGAAAAGCTTGAGGCATTTGGACTGGGCCTTAAAGTTGGGTAGAATTCCAATAGGTGAATATGGTAAAGAGGGCATTTCCAGGATAAAAGATGGCCTAAACATCACTCCTGGATGGCATGGAGATGGGATGGTGATGTGGGAAGTGTATGAAGCATCATGAGTTTTGACTATTCAAACCTGCGTGAGATAAGGCTGAAAAGGTGGTGCCACATTATAAAGAGCCTTCCCTGTTAGCCAAAGTGAGGACACTGAGCTTCTCTTGGTAGTCAATAATGAATGGATGAATGAAAAAGCATTTATGAAGTGCTTATTACATGTTAGCCACTGTGCTGAACTCTGAGGATACAAATGCAGAAAACAGGATAAACTTACATCCTGATGAAGAAGTAGTGGCCCGGCAGGGTGTTTGGTAAGGAACTCAGAAACGTCTAAGGACAATTGATTGACATGTTGTTCTTCTAGAGATGCTTTGATTATATAGTTATAGGGTAAAAAAGGCATGTGTGTGTATAGGGGAGGGAGGGAAAGTCCAGGATCACCTAGCTATGTTGAACCCTAACCAGTCAAACATTTGCTTAGTAATGGGCTAGAAGGACTTTTTTTCTACCCCATTGAACAATTTTTTTCACTTTTAGTTTTAATTATGTTTTTTGTTTTTGTATTATATACCTTTATAGATTATTCCCACTTTGTGAGAAGTCTCATAAAAATGTAAAATAATTAAGTAGAACTAATATAGTGAAATCATCTGAAAATATTCGCAACATTTCACCTTTGTAGCATCTCCACCTTTCTATTTTTTTTTCAAATGAGCAGAAATCTGTTTTATTTCCCAAACCTCTGTGGAAAAAAAGAAGGAAAAAAAAACATTTTTATAATAAATACGAATAGTCAGGCAAAACAAATTACCCCCAATGTCTGTAAAAATAAATACGTGTCTCATTCTTCCCCAGATCTATCACTCCTCTGTCATAGGTGCCATGTTTATCATTGGTCCTCTAGAATCATGAATGGTCATTGTATTGCTCATAGTTCTTACAGCTTTCAAAATTGTTTGTTTACAGTGTTGTTATTGTATGAATTGTTCTGTTCATTTCTTTCTTCATCCATTTACGAAAATTCTCAAAATTGTTCATTTTTATCATTTTTATTTTGTAGTATAAGTTGCTCTCCTGCTTCTGCTCACTTCATTTACCACTGTAAAAAACATAATGGGTGAAGACTTTGGGCTATTTCCTTGATGTTGCCAGAGTCATCAGAAATGGAGAGCAGGTCTTCAGTCCTGCAGAAATTAGCGCTAATTCTTGGTTCAATTTGCGTAAAGGAACCAGGGATCTTTTCCTGAAACCTCTGGCCAATCCATCTGAACACATTTTATTCCTGGCCTGGTCCAGGTAGATAACTCTGGGAGCCATCGGCTTGATTTTATGGGAATACCATCCCAACCCCACTTCATCTGTTTGCCTAGTCTACGTCTATGTTGTTTGACATTCTCATTTCTCTCTCTCTGTGTCCTGCTGTCTCTCTCTTCCTATCTCTTTCAATCCCCTCTCTCTCCACCCCCCTTCTCCCCTCCATTCCCTTGTGATTTTCTCAGGGCTGGGCTTCAACATCGTTGGAGGGACAGATCAACAATATGTATCCAATGACACTGGCATCTACGTCAGCCGAATCAAAGAGGATGGGGCTGCAGCCCAGGATGGGCGGCTCCAGGAGGGTGATAAGATCCTCTCGGTGAGAACTGGTTTTCACCTTCTTCATAGTCCTCTGTCTCCTAAGCCTTACACCCTATCCCTTTCTTTGGAAGGATTCTTTCTGCTGGAAACACATAGAACTGACCTTAAGAGTCCTTGATATTATCTAGTTAAACCCTTGTCTTTATTATTATTATTATTATTATTATTATTATTTTGGTTAGGCAGTTGGGGTTAAGTGACTTGCCCAGGGTCACACAGCTAGTAAGTGTCAAGTGTTTGGTCTGAGGCCGGATTTGAACTCAGGTCCTCCTGACTTCAGGGCTGGTGCTGTATCCACTGCACCACCTAGCTGCCCCTAATCCTTGTCTTTAAACAAGTAAGGTGGGGGTCTTTTTTTTTTTTTTTTAGTAAAGTATTATTGACCCCATTATCTGGGGCAAAGAAGTTAAGTGATTTGCTAGTGGTCACACAGCTAATAAGCAAGATGTAGGAAGGGAGAGTAGATAAAAGAGTTTCAGTCAAAATGGCAAAGAATCCAGGACTCTAGCCTCATACTACAGGGTTTTTTCACTCTGAAACTGCTTCCCTTTTAGTAGTTGAGATCCCAATACTTTGATCCTATTTTGGTGGTTGCCCCCTTATCATTGGATTTGTGTCTTACCTGAGGCCCTTTCTCTGTAGCTTTTGGAGTTAATGTTACTTTTTCAGTTGCAGAACCTGTTCTCAGGTGCTTAGGTAGGACCCCAACTATGATACCATGAAATGCAAAAATAGGATATGTAGAATCGTTGGTAAGAATTGTGTAGTTAGCATGGGTCCTGAAAAAGTTAATAATGGGGCTTAAAGGAATCAGACTGTCAGTAAGTGTGAATTTCCATAACTACTGAAAACAAAACAGAAAACATTGGCCCTTTAGGCTAGTCATGGTCATTCCTCTGATATACGTGTATACAAATATATGTGTATGTGTATGTGTATGTATATATGTGTGCATGTGTATCTGTGTGTATACACACTTACATATACAAACATATGTATAGAGAGGACTGGAGAAAATAGTTTTCACATTTTCTTTTGCTTTGTTTTCAGGCTATGCTCAGGATAGATAACTATCAGTATACACCTATCTGAAAAGAAAAGTGGACATAGTAAGGATGTTAGTAAAGTAGTCCTAAGGGCAGCTAAGTGATGCAGTGAATGGAATGCTGTCTCTGGAGTCAGGAGGATCTGAGTTCAAATCTGGCCTCAGACACTTACTAGCTATGTGACCCTGGGCAAGTCACTCAACCCCAATTGCCTCAGTTTCTTCATCTGTAAAATGAGCTGAAGGAGGAAATGGCAAACCACTTGCGTTTCTTTGCCAAGAAGACCCCAAATGGAGTTGGACATGACTAATTGACTAAACAACAAAGGTAGATCTAAAGACCTGAAATGGACTGAAGAGGAATTTGGAATGGATAATAGGAAAGGCCTTTAATGACACGAGCCTTCAGTTCACAAGATCAGAGGTCTGGAAGTGGAAGGGAACTCAGAGTTCATCTAGACCAACTCCTTCATTTTACAGACAAAGAACTTGCGGAGGCTAAATGACTGACCCAGTGCTACCTCTCTTCTCTGTAGGAGAAGCAATAGGGCAAAGTCTTGGAGAACTAAAAACAATCCCTACAAGAGGCTGGAATGGGGAAGCCACAGATTGGAAGTAGTATGAAAGACCTAATAAATACAGAGAACTCCACAAAGATGTCCAAGATGTTGAGAATTTTGCCTTGGCTGCAATCCAATGGTTTCTTGGTTTTTGTTGTAGTTCTCTCTTTTTCTTTTCAATCATTCTTGATATCTCATTTCATTAGTGATTAATATGTATCAAGATTCCAAGAGGCAGTCTGATGTAGTAGATAGAGGTTCACCCTTGGAGACAGGAAGGTCTGAGTTCATATTCTGGCTCTGACAAGTGCTAATTGAGTGACTGTGGGCAAGACACTTTTCCTCTCGGTGTCCCAGGCAAATCTTTCACTGTAAGTTACAGAAATGTTGCCTGTTTGCATTAGTGGAGAGAGGTGTGGCACCAAGTATTTCCTACACCCATGAAATTACAGGTCTGGCACCATCTCCCTTCCTTTTTTCCCAGCCATCCCACAAAGACTCTAGTACCTTCCAATTGATACTAAAGAAGGGCAAAGAGAGGGACTCCATCTTTGCCTCTTTCCGGAACTGAGGCTGAGTTTGATAATCAAAGTTGACTGACCTGACATTGAATATCTTTTTGTTTTGTTTTGTTTTTTAATTTATTTATTTTTAGTTTTCACCATTCATTTCCATAAGATTTTAAGTTCCATATTTTCTCCCCATCCCTCTCCGCCCCACACCCCAAGACAGCATGCAATTTGATATAGGCTCTGCATATATATTCATATTAAACCTACTTTCACATTAGTCATGTTGTAAAGAGGAATTAGAACCAATAGGAGGAATCACAAGAAAGAAGAAACAAGAAAAAAAAGAGAAAGCAAATAATATGCTTTGATCTGCGTTCAGGCTCCATAGTTTTTTTCTGGATGTGGATAGCCTTTTCCATCATGAGTCTTTTGGAGTTGTTTTAGATCTTTGCATTGCTAAGAAGAGGTAAGTCTATCAAAGTTAGTCATTACATAGTATGGCTGTTACTGTGTACAGTGTTCTGGTTCTGCTCATTTCACTGTGTATCAGTTCATATAAGTCTTTCCAGGTTTTTCTGAAGTCCACCTGCTCATCATTTCTTATAGCACAATAGTATTCCATTACATTCATATACCACAGTTTGTTCAGCCATTCTCCAACTGATGGGCATCCCCTCAATTTCCAATTCTTTGCCACCACAAAAAGAGCTGCTATCAATATTTTTGTATGTATGGTTCCTTTTCCCATTTTTATGATCTTTTTGGGATACAGCCTTAGAAATGGTATTGCTGGGTCAAAGGGTATTCACAGTTTTGTAGTCCTTTGGGCATAGTTCCAAACTGATCTCCAGAGTGGTTGGATCATTTCACAACTTTACCATCAATGCTTTAGTGTTCCAATTTTCCCACATCTTCAACATTTATCATTTTCCTGTTTTGTCACGTTAGCCAATCTGATAGGTGTGATGTGGTACCTTAGAGTTGTTTTGATTTTCATTTCTCTGATCAATAGTGATTAGAGCATTTTTTATTTGACTATAGATAGCTTTAATTTCTTCATCTGAAAACTGCCTGTTCATATCCTTTGACCATTTATCAATTGGGGAATGACTTGTAGTCTTATAAATTTGACTCAGTTTTCTATGTATTTTAGAAATGAAGCCTTTATCAGAGACACTGGCTGTAAAAAGGGAAGCTTTCTGCTTCCCTTCTAGTCTTGGTTGCATTGGCTTTCTTTGTGCAAAAACTTTTTAATTTAATGTAATCAAAATTACCCATTTTACATTTCGTAATGTTCTCTATCTCATGTTTGGTCATAAATTCTTCTGTTCTCCAAAAATCTGACAGGTAAACTATTCCTTGTTCTTCCAGTTTGCTTATAGTATCAGCCTTTATATCTAAGTCATGTATCCATTTTGACTTTATCTTGATATATGGTGTCAGATGTTGGTCTATGCCTAGTTTCTGCCACACTCTTTTCCAGTTTTCTCAGTAGTTTTTGTCAAATAGTGAGTTCTTATCCCAGAAGCTGGGGTCTTTGGGTTTATCAAACAATAGATTACTATGGTCTTGACTGCTGTGTCTTGTGTACCTAACCTATTCCACTGATCCACTACTCTATTTCTTAGCCAGTATCAAGTAGTTTTGATGATTGCTGCTTTGTAATACAATTTAAGATCTGGTATGGCTAGGCCACCTTGCCTTGCATTTCTTTTCATTAATTCCCTTGGTATTATGGACCTTTTGTTCTTCCAGATGAATTTTATTATTTTTTTCTAGCTCTATAAAATAATTTTTTGGTAATTTGATTGGTATGGTACTGAATATATAAATTAGCTTAGGTAGAATTGTCATTTTTATTATATTATTTCGGCCTACCCATGAGCAACTGATATTTTTCCAGTTATTTAGATCTGACTTTATTTGTGTGAAAAGTGTTTTGTAATTGCGTTCATATAATTTCTGGCTTTGTCTTGGCAGGTATTAAATGTCTTTTTGAAGAGGCTGATGCTTCAGCTTGTCTTTTGATTGACTGTGTCTCTAGGGACGGAAGCTTATTTAGCTTTGGGACTTTGACCAAGGCAGCTCTTTGTATGCTGGACTTCAGTACACCAGTGTCCTTATTTCTCTCTACCACCCCCACCCCCATCCCAGTGACCCAGTGTTTAACCTCTGGATAATCCCTTGAAACCTTGAAGGGCTACACTTTATTTCATGAGAGGAAATTTAGAGATACAAATGTTGGGTGTTTCTAGGAGCTTCTTGGAGAAAGTCTATAAATAAGAGATGACATTGCAATGTTCTTTCAAGGAAGTATGTTAGTAGGTTGCCTGAGTAGAAGTTTTGTACAGTCAATCAGCTAACAATATTTGTTAAGTGCTTGCTAGGTGCCAGGCATCAAGTTAGGCTATTTAGAGCCTGACTCGCAGTCATTTCATCCACAATCCTACTCTCATAGCTAGAGGATATCAACATACATATTGATATGCCTTCAAGCACTCCAAAGTGCCTGACTTTGGAGCCTGACTCACAGTCATTTCACCCAAAATCCTACTGTCATAGCTAGAGTATATCAACATACATATTGATATGCCTTCAAGCACTCCAATTTTTTAGTTCCTCGGTCTGCTCAGTTCTCATGATCTATTCCTTCATTCCACCTCAGCTCTACCTAGAAATGGTCATACGCATGGTCTTACCATCACTCACAAGTGTTCTACTTCCTTGTTAGTGAATTCTGAAATTTCCTTTATCATTCCATCTTTCCTTATGCATTATAACTCCTAACCCTGTTCTTCATTTTCCAATCCCTGTAGTCCTCAGTTCTTTCCCAAGCCATCACTATTGCACTGACTTTGCTCTCCTCCCTTTCTGATGGTGA